GCCTTTCATCACCTGTTAAATATGGATTGCAGTATTTACCCAGCTTATCTTTTAGGAATGTTGTACCCTTCAATGATTCCTGGAAGGGATTAGATAGCCTATCCTGTCTTTAGTAACTTACATTTGGCTTTCACAGTGGCATCTGTTGGTCTGAGAATTTAGAACACAAAACCAAGAGATGCTTTGTGTGTAAGGGTAGCTTGCATTAGTAAACACACAACATTTGGATATGACCAAGTCCAGAGTCTGACCTTAACCTGAGAGCTGTGCTGCATCAAACAGGGAACCTAGACCTTCTTGGTAACCATTTTAGGCAAAGTCCTTTGATAAGCTCTAAAAACCATTCTCTGGGAGAGTTGCTCTAGAGTCTTCTTGTTGAGTACTGCTGGCTCTGTATGTCAGCTGGGTGGATACAGCCATGAATTGGTCTAATGTGGCTTCATAAACAGGAAGCAAACCATGTCATAGCCTCTGTGCCTTTGGGCTTCATGGCAGAGAGTATCTGCTACTGGGTCCCAGTAGAGTTCTTCTGGGAGTCTGAAATAGTCAGGTTTTTATTGCAGGACCACATATCCAACACTCACAACTTAAAGGAGGAGATATTTACTGTAGCTTGTGGTTCCAGGGGATTCGGTCAATGGCTGGATCGTGCCAAGAAAGCAACTTAATGGCAGAAGGGCCTGGTGGAGCAAAGCTGCTCAATTCATGGCAGCTGGGGAGCAGAGCAGGGCAACAGTGTCTCCATGATGCACTCAGACATACCCAGGAGTGTGCTCTACTAATCCTCTGAGTGGCTCCCACGCCAACCAAGCTGATGGACAACCTTCACCGTCATAAATTCCCTCCCGCTGCCATGAACTCTCCCTGGCACAGCACGCCAATAAAAAGGATTGTGTTTGTGTGTGTATGTGTAAAAATTCATCATAACTTTCCATTTTACATTTACTCATATTATTTACTATCTGTGTTCACTTAGCAGTCTTAGGAAACAAATTATTCATAGTATCTGAAGAACAGAACATCCAGAGAATCATACCAGCAGATGGTTTTATTTCTCTTCTCGTACTTGGCCTTTTGAGCTAACTGGGACTAGATTCATTTTCCTTTCTTCCAGTGATAATGTTCTTATCCAGGTGATGAACTGCTTCATCCAGCCAAAGAGCTTGAGGCTTTGGAGATGGATTTTTTTTTCACCCAACACTCATTCAACCAACCTTTCCAGGGGACTCTGGAAATTATGTCAAGTTGGATCCTACATCCATTTGATGAATCTCATCTCATTGCTCCTGAGCCAAGAGAAAACTTTGACTAGGATGTGGAGTGAAGTGAACACTGCTCAACAGAGTTAAGCCCAACTTGCCACCCTATACTCTTCCAAGGAACTTTGATGCCAAGTGTGCTTGCTAGTAGCACTTGAGAGTCTGGGTATCTAGTTGTGCCTAAAAACAAAGATATCCTTGGTTGTAGCATCTACCTGCTTCTCTCTATAGAAAGCTCCCCTAAACTGGGTAATTTTACATTCATCTGTCAGTGCTATGTGTTTTTCTGCCAGTGATCAGAACACTGCAGAGGAGGAGTGACACTTAAATTTCAACCTTAAACCACTATATTAATTACTAATCATAATCACCATCACTAAAGTCCCCCATTGTGATGACCAGTAGAATCTGTTTGTGGATTCCAACCACTGCCCATCACCTTCCACTACCTTCTGTGGACCACATAAACCCTTTCTGTTTCATCTCCCAACATTTTTTCTGGATAGCCTCGCAGAGGAAAATACTAAACTGAGATTCATTCTGCTGCCCAAACAGCTTGAGATAAATCCTTCACTCTGAAAATTTCATGATCTAAAAAATAGGATGAATAATCTTTGCCCCACAAGGACATGTTCTAAAATGGAATTAACCACATTTATAACTGATAAAATGATAGAGCAGTCTGAAATCCGCCCCCCCCCCTTTCGTACTGAGAATCAAACCGAGGATCTTATGCTTGCCAGGCAGGCTCTGCACCACTGAGCTGAATCACCCAGAACAAAAGTCTCAAATCTTTAAGATTAGTCCACATGGCAATCTATCTGATCACTTTTGCAGATGGCAACCAAAACTCTCTAGGGTGCTATGTGTTCCCCTCCCAGGCAATGTCTGTCTCCAAGTTATCACTATATTACCCTCGAGAATGAACAGATTATGGTTTGACTTTGCATCCTGAGAAGTTGTTTTCCTAAAATCAAAGAAGAAGGGGAAAGTGAAGTGAAAGCTGTCTATTTAGCCCACACTTCTTTCAGAAACTAAAGGACTGACTGCTACATGTGTGTAAGAAGAAAAAGAATAGACAGCAATGGGTTGAGGAAAGCAGGAAGAGCGTGAAGCTGTGCTCAGAGAGACACATTAGGAGCAGGAAATGTCAGCACTTCATACAGTCCACAGCAGGTGTGTGAGGTAGCTCAGAGCCACAGAGTACAATCTGTTCATGAGGTGCCTTAGTCACTTTTCTTGGTGCTGGGGAGGAAAGGGTTATTTTGGCTCACGTTTTAAATCCATAGTTGGCTGGCTCTAGGGCAGGAAGGTATAGTGGAAAGGCCTGGACAGAGAAAAGCAGCTTACTTCATGGGAGGTAAGAAGCAGGGAATGAAGGGAGGAGTGAGGAAGAAAACACACCCTTCCTGGTCACACTTGCAGTGCTCCACCTCTTCCAGTCAGGCCCACCTTATCCAAGTCCCTCCTGTGAATGCATGAAGCTCTTGGGATATCTCAGATCTAAAGCATAATGTAAAGGTTCACCCAGAAATAGGCTCAGGTACATTCGAAGTCACAGGTGGCATCTGCAAATATCCTTTGAGTGACACCGTGGGACTACTGCTATTTGATGCAAGAGGGTGAGTGAAAAGAGCACTGGAATGCAAGTTGGTGAAACATTGCTTCTAACCTGACCAAACACCTTGAGCAGATCCAGTCCCCATTCAGCTTCAAAGCCAGGAGTTGTACTAGTGGACTTCATGGTCTCTTTTATGTTCAACCAAGTCCTCAAATCAGTGGGGCCATTGGTGGTAGACTGTATTTATCCTCCTCTCTCTTGCCCACACTTTCACCAAGGAAGGAGACATATAGTTTGTTCCTCCACCACCCTATGGATGTTGGGCTTATTGATGACTTGCACTGGCCAATAGGCTGTGGGCAGAAGGGATAATATGCCAGTTCTGAGGAGAATCTTTGAAGAAGCATTGCAAGCATCATCCAACCGTTTTGTGCACCTTGTACTCTGTTAGGAGAAGAGCACACCCCAGTAGACCTGCTGCTTTAGTCTGAGTCACAGCAGAAGGAGATGCTGGGATCAAGCTCAAAATTAATACATAGTCAAAAGCTAAAGCAAGCCCAGTCCAGCCCAGTAGAGCTTTGGCTATCTTGTAAACTCTTAAATAGGAAATAAATGTTTGTTGTAAGGGACTGTGATGTTTGGGACTCTTTGTTACTGCAGCCAAAGCTGACTAATGCACTATGTGACAGAAAAGTCAGAGAGGCACACCACAGGCAATGATCTAGCCTGCCTGGTGGAGAATGAAAGGCAGCTGGAGGGGCCCCACAGGAAGACGTCCATGCCAGAGATGCTGTAACCTTCCATATGGAGACACACTTGGCTTTTGGCATCAACAACCCAGGCCTCGACTGGGAAAGGAAGGGAGTTTGGTGGGATGGGGAAGTAGGTTATAATGATTCAAAGTCAAAATCTTTCCTGCTCATAGTCCTCTCTTTTCTACAGTCTGCCACACCTAAGCTGTCTTGTTTCTCACTGCTGAGGTGCTGCAGTTAAAAGGCTCTTGAACCCAAGGTCGATGTATTGATTTAGTTAGCACAGAGATGCAAAAAGATGGCTCAGATAAATTTACAAATTTTAGCATCACTGGTCCATGACTACTGTGATCAGTCCTTTTGATTGCTAATATCAAAGGACTCCAAAGAAATTCACATCAACATCATCCCAGCCAAATTCTAGCTAATAGATGTTTTCCTGCCGAACAGAGCACCGTGGCATAGTTTATGCAACACATGCACTGCTGCCCAGGAAGAAGCTGTGGAATTCTAATTCTCCCATTATTGTGGCTTGTGGGTACCCTGAGGTTCCATTTAGCCAGTGCAAATGCTTACATTTACACACTGTAAACAATGCACGTTGCTAACCTTCATCTAACTCAAAAACCAGGACCATTCCCTACCTTTTCAGTTGCTTGGATCAAGCCTTTGGAGTTAACAGTCACAATCATCCATTGGAAAAAAAAGGACCCAGCCCTTCAGCAGCCATGATAGAAGAGAAGAGGAACATAGCGTTGAGAGATAAGGTAAGGCAAGAAGTAGGAACAAAAGCAAAACATCCCAAATTTTTCTGAAACATTTTAGGCTTTTACACAAAATCTTACCTGGAACAGAAATATATGCAACTAGATAAAAGCACAGACATTAGGGTGAGGATTCAGAGCCTGTCTGTGCAGCATTCTGTCTCACACTCCCAAAGGTGCCTCCTCGACTTATGTGTAGAACACAGTTTGGAAAACCCTGGGCTAGAGAACTTTGGAAATAAAAGGTGAGAAGCAGACGCCATCATGGCTGTTTCTGAATACTCTACTGGGAATAGAATGTAATTAACTGTTCAGACATTCTTTGTTGTGGATTGGCAGCCACAGGGCACAAAGAAAAAGATGCCTTCTACATCCTGCCCAAGACAGATGAACCACCTGCCTAACCTTCCTCAAATCTTATCTTCATCTTCAACTGAACAAGGCAGGTTTCCCTAGAAACAAGTTCAAGCTTCCTCCTTTACCCTGTATCCTCTACCTACCCATCCAGCTCTCTTACCTAAGTGGTACTCTGTCCTGAACTTCCAAGTCTCAAGCTTGATGTCATCTCTGCTTTGGCCTCCTAGAGGAAGCGGTCCTGAGGGATGCTTTTGTCTCACTGGCATGTAGCTTCCCATTTCCCATGGAGACAAGCTCTCAGACCCACCTATGCACACCACGTCCATGAAGCCGTACATCCCATAGCAGATCTGGAAGAGGAGGTCTTGGCGCTGCCATTTTGCTGAGGGACTGAAGGTCGACCAGATGAGCCATGAGATACTGGCGATGAGGAAGAGGGAACCCAAGATGGCGGCTGCTATCTGAACCTTCTCGATGACTGTCAGAGAGATGGCCTGCCACTGGAAAGGAGAGAGTGGCAGGTTAGCTGTTGCTTGGATGCGCTCAGCCCTTTCCCTTCCCCTTCTACTGCTCCAACAAGTCACCTTTGAAATCGGATTTAAACCAGTGTACCCAACTTGCAGTATAATGGACATCTTTGCAGTCTCACAGTGTATTTTTAAATCAGAGGAAGCCTAGATCGCATGAAATGATCAGAGATCATTGTAAGGGTTCTGGCCAGGCATGATTGAGAAAGAGATCCTTAGAGCTGACTATGAAACAGACAGAGAAATGAAGAGACAGAGAAAACAAACAGCTTGTGTGGCTAGTGCTCCAGGGGTCTAGAATATTCTTTTCAAAACAAAAGTTTATTTTCTCACTAATAATAGGTGCTGAGAGGGCACAGGTCTTTCTTTTGCCTGTCTTATTTTGTTTCTACAGTAACAATTCACACGCCACTTAGTATGCATGCCAGAGATTACCAATTCAACAGACTATTCAACAGAGAGGATGTGGAATGTGGAAGAGAGATAAGGAAAACAATTTCTAATTTACTCAATGTGTATTGAGTTTTTCAATGTGTATAGATGTTTTTCTTTCTTTTTTTTTTTTTTAACAGAAAAAACATTTTATTAACAACAGCACCGATGGAAAGATTGAAAGCTACAGTGTGGGTTTCAGCTATGGAATTTAGTTGTACCATGGTAGTCCAGGCAGTACTGGTCTAAATAAGCCAGAATTTGGATTTCTAGCACAGAGTTTCTTCCTGTAGTCATTCAACAAATAAGGTATTAAGTATTCTGTGTACCTGGACACCATGCTAGGTGATGGAAATAAAGCACTAGGTGCAACCAGACAAAGTCTCCACCTTTGTGAAGCTTGCAGCCTATGAACCATAGACAACCCTGTGAAACTTCCATTACAGTCCAGCAGGGGTTAGAAAGGAAGGCACATAGTAAAAGCCCGGAGAGGGCAACTTGGCTTCTCATAGGAGACAACGCTTGAGCTGGGCAGGCGTTTACTAAGCAAAGAGGAGAGGGAAGAGCACCTCAGACCATGCAAAGGCCCCTGTTGGAAGAAAGCATGCTGGGTCTGAAGACCTAGAAAGAGACCAGAGAGGGTGGAGTGCAGTGAACAAAAGAGTGTGAGGGGCGGACAGCTGGAGAAGTGGGAGGGGAGCTGATGCAGGGTCTTTCCTAAAAGGAAACGTGCAGGTGGGATTGGCTTTAACCAGGGCACTGACAGGAGCCAGATGTGGGAAGGTAAAGGAAGGACGTCTTCTGATTTGGATAGGATCGACCCCAGCAGGCATTTCAACCTGACAACTTGCCACCAGGGAGCACCACTCTGCCTTTAGCGGCCTGGAGGGCAGCTGGGACCAGCCAGTGACCTCCAAGGACTCATAATCATTGGAAAACATTTCACCAGCAGGTCTAGATGCAGGACATTGGCCTTGACATTTAATTACACAGATAGCATCACATTACAGGGAACTAGACCTTTACATTTTCCAATCCTCCCCCCAGTCTAGGGTTACACATAACAAAGGAATCTTCCAGAAGATGGTCTGGTCATGCAGACTTAATGCTTTTTACCAGGGCTTGCTCCACTGTCTGGAAGGAGGGCTCTTGGCTACCATACCATTGAGGTATCAAGAACCCTCACCTTCTCCTCTTCCTCCAGACTGCAAGAATCCCAAATACGGGGGCACAGACAAGACCTCTTCATCCATTCTCTCTGTCCCAAACCATCGACAGATCTAATCAGTGCCCCTGACCACTGTGATGAAGAGGACAAAGTGCTATGGACACAGACTCTCCTGTTCATCCACGCGAGGCTCCCCAGAGGTGTGGGGGACACTGTAAGGGGTGAGCAGAGGACAAGAGAGTTCTGGTCTCACAGGAAGACTGGGAGGAGAAAAGCATATCCGTGGGCCAGGTTCTGAGGCCATCAGACACCTGGCACTCTGGGGCCTTGTTCCCAGTGAAGTTGTGACTCACTGTTGTGAGACTTCTGCACACCTTGAACTCCTGTTTGCAGCATTGGTGAATGGAGAGACAGAGGGGAAGAGCATGAAGACTGGACACTTCGTCCCTTCTACCAGGAAGGGCACCGAGCAAGGGACTCAAGGACCCAGTTTGCTGAGTGTGATCAAGGAGAATTCAATAACTCACAGAGATCATCATTTTTCCCTTCTGTAATAAAGGAAATACTTGGTTCTTCCTACTTCTTAGAATATTATGAAGGTTAAATGAAATAACTTTCAAGCCAGTACTTGAAGGGTATTCTTTACAGTGTGGATAAGCCCACGAGATGGAAACTCATCTCATCAAGCGTTCCTGGGAACTATGAGGGAGAGATTAAGCCCAGACCCAGGAGCCACATCCCTGTTCTAGCACTTCATCGCTATCTAATTTCAGACAAATTAGAGAGTCTTCAGTGCTGCCACAGTCATCTGTAAATTGGAAATGATAATAGTAGTCCTCAGTTCATTACATTTTCTTTAGGGTTAAATTAAATAATATACGTGAATATTTAGAACACTGGCTGGTACCTAATAAGTACTGAGTCAACATGAATTAATATAATACAGTTCCTCCTTATCCAAGGGGAATTGATTCCAAGATCCCCAGTGGCTGCCTGAAACTTTGGATAGTACTGAATCCTACATACAAGCACTACGTGAGACACGGGAACAGCTGATTTATTAAGGGACAGTTACTGAGTGACCAACAGGCAGGTAGCATATACACCACAAATATGCTGGGTAGATGGATGGTTCGTGTTCCAAGCAGGATGAAGCAAGAAGATGTGAGATTTTATCATGCTACTCAGAACAGATGCAAGTTAAAACCTATGAATTACTTCTGGAACGTTCCACTTAATAGTTTTGGAGCGCAGTTGACCATGACGCTATGGGAAGGGAAACCGTGTATAAAGGAATGATCAAAATTGCAATTTGGATGTAGCAAAGGATAAGAAGCAACCATGAAGCCTGGAGATCCACAGGCTATGTGTGACTCTCTTCTCAGAGGCTCCTTGGGCCAGAAACATTGCTTCCAGAGGGTCCCTCTGATGACGTCCCATAGTGAATAGGTGTGCCATTTCTCATAACTTTGTACAGTACATAAACCAGGAGAGAGACCCAAGAGCCCATAAAGGGCCTCCTGCCTCTGACAGCAGATCCCTATTGCTTGCTCGGGCTCAGGTCACTGTGGTGAGCAGGAAGCCGTCTCATACTTGCTAGGTCTGAGGAATCCAGGACACACAATTAGGACACTTTGGGCCACAACACAGCTTCTCGCCGAACTTCCAGTGCTATCTGAAGAAATGAAAAGGCATTTGTCTACACCATTGCCTTCTGAGGCCTAAGGAGTCAGAGAGGTCCCCAGTGTCACAATTACAGACATAGTAATAATTTAAGGACAGATTAACAGATCAATATTGCCAACACTGCCATTTGCTTATCTGATTCGTAAGATCAGAAAAAACTTTTCTTTATTTTTTCCCCCTCGGGAAAAAGTTATTCCTGAATACTTTTTCATTTTATGAGCCAAGGTGGAGCCAGCAGAGGGGTGTGTGTGGAGGGGGAGGACGACCCTGCAGCAGGCTTGTGGATCTGGGATCTGACCTTTCTTGAGGCTTGAGTGGCTGAAAAGGAAGGGAAGGTTAATGCACTCAGACCTCAGTCGGCACCCAGAGGACGCGGAATCAGCTGTCTTGTGATACTGCTATTTTAAGACACTCCAACATTTTGAAACAAATGGCTGCAGATGGGAGCAGCGGCAGGGAGAGGCCCCTCTGACGTGGGCCCCTCGGCTCACCATCAGGATGACTGAGGTGCCTGGGACTTCAGTGCCACCTTCAGGAACGCTCACCCCAGCCCACATGTGTGTGTGGACACTCTCCCATTCCTCGCAGTGCCCCATGAAAAACTTCACAGGGTCTAAAACAGAACACTTGGGACGCTGTAACTCCTGATGCTTCCAGCTGCCATCCATGCAAAGACCCCACCCCACCCCACCCCACCATCCCCTCCAACCCCCAGTGCCCTGGCCTTGCTGGGTTGATTCTCCCCCTCCTTCTAAGACAGGAAGGGAAACTGTTCCAGGCAGCTGGAGTCCCACCCTCACTGTCGCCAGTTAATTGATTATGTGGCGGTTTAACTGGCCGATCATGCATACAGGCCCTGCCTGTGTGTGTGTGCCTTGGGCGCCTGGCCGCTCTTGGGGAAGGTGGATGCGTCATGGCAGGACAGGGAGGGAGGCACAGGCACGGGGTGCTCTCTGTGTCGCAGGAATCTGTTTTGCAGACCTCCGCCCAGCCCTGCTGCCCCTCACCCTAACCTTTTTCTTCTCTGTCCCTTTCGTTTTCTTACTGCCCTCCTCTTCTCGGCCTCCCTCTCCTGTCTCTTCTCCACGTCCCTCTCTGACCCCTGCAGAAGTGTGGTCTGTGCACCAGCAACATCGGTGTCACCCGTAGTTTCTTAGAAATGCAGGCTCTTGAGGTGGGCGTGGTGGCAAATGCCCATAATCCCTGTAACTCTGGGGAGGCTGAGGCAGGAGACAGCTGCAAGTACAGGCCAGTTTGGGCTGTACGATGAGTTCAAGACCAGCCTGAACTACACAGCAAGATCCTGTCTCAAAAAAGGAATGAGGAGAAGGAGGGAAGGAGAGGAGGGAGAGGAAGGGGGAAGGGAGGAAGAAGGAGAAAGAAAGAAATGCAAACTCTCAGCCCGTCCCAGACCCACTGAACCTCGGTGTGCAGTCTGACAAGCCTCAGAGTGAATTTCCTGCACAGGAAGTTTGGAAAGTGCGGGGAGCCTCCTTTCCTGTGTCCCCTGGCTCCCGCCCACTGGTCTTGCCTTTATTTTCCACCTTTACTTTTTTTCTTTCCTTTCCTTTTTTTCCCTCTCTCTCTCCTTCTTTCTTTCTTCATTTTTCTCACTTTCACCCCACTTAGATCTACTCCCACTGTGTCCCACCCCTCCTGTTTTTGCTGGAGCTTAAGAAGAAGCAAATCCTTCACCCCTCCTGCCTACCAGCTGCTCCAGAGCTCCAGGAGGCCCTAAATTCTCCAGCCTCAAACAGGCCCAGCACCCCGTGGTGGGCAGCCCCCCGGTTCACCTGGAGAGGGTTCTTTGTGCTTATGGCGATGACGTGGTACTTGTAGTAGCACAGCTCGCAGCTCCAGCAGCCGCGCTCGCTGATCCACTTGATGAGGCAAGGCTGGTGCGTGCACTTGACCGAGCCGTCGCAGCGGCACGGGCTCAGCAGCTCACCCTGCAGGAAGAAAGGCAGACAGCGGTGAGGCCAGGCGTCAGACTCTAGCCAGGTGGCTGGAGGCTGGAGCAGAGCTTGAGCCACACCCTGAGGCCAGAGACCGCGGTCCCTAGCAGAGAGGGGTTTGTCAGGAGACTCCAGACTCCACGGAGAAGCTATGGCCCTCGCGTCCCCAGCGTGGGTGCCAAGCAACTGCAGTCAGTTTGGAGGCGCTGTGATAAGACACAGGCCAACGTTTCTTGCTGCTCAGGTCCTCGGGTTTCCAAGAATGCAAGTGGGCCATTTCCTGCGGAGCCACCTGCAGATCAAAGCAGGTGAAGGGAGCTCCCTGGTGGCCACTGAGTTGAATTGCAGGGCTCAAACCCAGGCTAAAAGAACAGCTGCGGTCGGCTCCAGCTGGCTGGAGATGTGGGAAACTTTTTTTCCCTGATGATCACACCTAGGGCCTTGCTCATGCTAGGCAAGCACTTTGTCCTTGAGCCACATCTCCAGCCCTGGAGGGAAAATTTATCCCCTTAGTCTAATGGTAATGTGGGGGTCAGAGCTATGGTCTTAGTCTCTGCAGTCTCCTGCAGGCCAGTGCAGAGACCCAAGTTCTCTCCAGAAGGCCTCCACCCCAGGCCACTGAGCGAGGAAAACATGGGATAGATCTGGATTCTGGGAACCTTGGAGATCGAGCCAATGCTCTTGCTAAAGAGCTGGGCCTCCTCAGCCAGTCTTGGGGCACAAAGCAAAAGCTCAGCCCGTGGGCAGGAGAAGCAGGAAGGGAAAGGAGCTGGCCAAGCCAGATGGCACCAGGAGGTGAAACTCCTTTTGAGTGGACCATACAGTTGGGCTTATTCTCCAGAGCCCAGGGATGAGTCAAGCAGCCATGACTGAAGCCTGTGTCTCTGTGTCCCCCAACAAGTTGGCCCCAAAGTGTTTCCATCAGTTTCATCCACTGTTTGTCTCTCCCTCTCTTTGCTCTCTTTCTCCCCCCAGGCTCAGGGTCCACCGTGTTTGTTCCTGACATCCCTGTCTGCCCAGTCCTTTGTTTACCCTCCTTGGGCCACTAGCAGTCAGATCCCCCACTTCCCTGCCCCTGCTCCCTCCGGCCTTGCCATCATCGCTTCCTTCCTTCCTCTCTGGGCCCCCCTCAGCTCATTTGTCTGGGACCCAGCTCCTCTGCCTCACTCCACCCAAAGGACCCTTGTGATGCCCCACACAGCCCAATCCCTAAACCTCACACTGGTGTGTTTGGAATATGGCCACTTGAGCCATGTCCCTGACATTTTGGGGGATATCATCATTCCTGAAACAACACCTTGTTCTAAACTGTGAATAAGTAAATCCAGGAGCTGCTGGCCTCTAAGTTTCAGGTCTTCATCCGGATATTTAAGCCTCTGTATATATTAAGCATGTTCTTCACTGCTGCCATTTCTTTCCAAGATTTCTAAAATCATCTTTATCTTCTACGTCAGCTGTTTCCCACTGTGTTCTTTCAGGACAGACAGGCATTTCCCACATCCTCTGTCATGGTACTCCCCCGTTTGCCTCTGGGTCACTACTCAGTGACCACCTCACTGTGTCCCCTCACAGGGACAATACTTGATCCATTCTGTATCTCTTACTCGGAGTGGCACCGGTACAGTGAGATACTCGTTCTAGCTTCAACAGCTGAACACTTTCATGTATCTCTTTTATAAACAAGAGGTTTTGCTCCTGTAGGACACGGCCAGCCTCTGGCTTCTGCTGGGCAGCTGTAGTGCTAGGAGGAGGAGGAGGAGAGGAAGAGGAGAAGAAGGAGAAGAGGAAGAGGAGGAGGAGCAGGAGGGGGAGGAGGAGGAGAGGGAGAAAAAGGAAGAGGAGGAGGGGAGGGAAGGGGAGGAGGAGGAAGAGGAGATAAGCTGCGCTCACATTACTGGCCTTGCACTTCACCCAGCAAGGCCTAACAGCCCTTGGTTTTAAGTCCCATGCTATGGCTTTGAGAAAGAAATGGGAGAGAGTTGAACAAGGTGCTGAGGGGGGGCAAAAGCTCTTATTATTCATGGCAGCATTTCTTAGGCTCATTAATTCTAACAGGATGAGCTGCGTTTGATTAATCAGGTTGTTAAGCAGCCATGTCAAATCGCTGATCAGTAGAAGACATTACTTCTGGTCCCTGGCAGCACTGCCAGGTGATGGCGACGGCTGCCCTCCCTGCTTCCCCAGCAGCAGCCATGAGGAAAGGCAGGAAGAGCTGTTGTGCGGGCTCACAGGAGAGCAAGACCTGGGCTCTCTACCTTGGCTGTGGAGATGGGACCAATGGGGCCCTGCAGCCTCTGTATAGAGACTCGAAGAAGGTGGGCATGGGACTTGGCCTGGCTGAAAGCACAAGGCCAGCACAGCTCCTCTGTGCTGACCTTCCCGTGGGGCTGGATAACTGAAAAGACAGAGTAGGGACTTGCTTTTGGCACTACACGTATTAGAAAGCACAGGCACAAAAACTGTTAAGTAAGTTTATATTGGATAAAAAAGTTTATCCAGGATTTTAGAGGGGAAAAAAATCCAGGGGAAAAAGAAGCAGTTGTGCCGGGTGTGGTGGCTCAGGCTTGTAATCCCAGCACTCGGGAGGCTGAGGCAGGAGGATTGTTTCGAGTTTGAGACCAGCCTGGGCTACAAAGTGAGCTCAAGGCCAGCCTGAACTGCATAGTGAGACCCTGTCTCAAAAAAAAAAAAAAAAAAAAAAAAAAAGAAGAAGAAGCAGTTGTAATCTTGGCACCTAACCAGTTTTGTACATTTTTTTTTAGTATAGCTTTATGTGCGTTGGAGAGGAGGGCTATATAATCTTTTCGGTTTTAAGACTCCTTAAAAGGCCTTAACCTTGACCCTTCACCATCTTCTACTGATCAGATCTGTATGTCTTCAAGAACAATAGAAGCAGAAATAGGTAGCAGTGGATTCAAGCTTTTCTTGGTGAAGACCGGCCTTGCAGTAAAGCCTGTTAGCAGCTAAGGTGGTGTAGCATGGAAACAGAGATGACTATTATACCCCCTACCACCACCACTGGAAAACATCTCTAAAGAGATGCCTACTGAAGAGAAAGGGAATTGCTAAGTCAAGATCCAGAGGCAGCCAGTGCCATGGGCAGACTGGCGGTTTAGCCCTTAGACAATGGCCTCTGAGCTTTACCACACCCTTGCCCCTGTCCCTGTTGTTCAACCCCACCTGCGCCATGAGTCCTTTCTCCATTTTCTCTCTAGATCCCCCTGATTCTGGGCCTAGCACAGTTTGTTCAGGCGAGTTTCCATGACGGCCAGCTGCAGGCCACCAGCTCCACTCACCAGTGTCCCCTCTGCTCCATCTCCTGCAGTTTGGCACCTCATCACCTTCAAATCCTCTGTGATGTGGGCTGTTCCTAGGTTCCCCACTGACATGACAGATACACGGGAAGGCACAGGGCTCAGGGTGTAGGGAAAGATAAGCTCCTCGGCCCAGCTCCTGGGCTCCAGCCTTTGGGTCGGGAGGATTACTGTGACCATGTCTTCCTAGCTCAGCAAACTCCAAGGATCAAGGGGCGTGTGGAATGCAAAGGGCACCAGGCACTTCCTCGTGATCTGCTCAGGGCCTTGGGGCCTGAGACCACCTGGAAGGGACCAAGACAAGAAAAATGGGGTCTCAATCCCCTGACCCCAAGGGGTACAGTGTGGGGACTGGTTAGGCATGGATTTGGAAAGAGGCACTTTGCAAACAGGGGCTGTGCCATTGAGCTATATCCCTGGCCCTCGGAAACAGGCACTTTGGATCAGATCGTTTCACTGCTTGCTGGCTGGGCAAACTGGGGCAAGCTTCTTAACCTCTCTGCGATTCCATTTCTTCATCTGTCTGGGGAAGATAAGCCTTACCTCCTCCAAGGGTGGACTGAATGAGACCCAGCACACAAAGTGCTTGTCACAGTGCCTGGCATGAGTGCATCATTGAGTCCCCTTGATAAGAGATTGTCATTTGCACATTTCTGTAAGGACATTAATTTCATAGTTTTTTTCTGCAACAACGCTATCTTCCACTCATACCATCACTGTAATATAGGTCAGACAGGTAGGAGAGAAGCAAGTGCTTTAATGGTCAGTGGAACCCAGAGAGAAATTAAGAGCAAAGAACTTTCCCAACAGTCTGCCCTTCTGGGATAAGGGATCATAATTTGGTTCTTCCAGCTTCGAGCCCAGGACTGTCCTCTATGTTTTCATAGCACACTGAAAACATTTTGGGGGACTTCTTTGAGGATACTGAAATGGAGGGGAACACAGGCCTCTTGGATTAAGGTTTTGCTGGAAGCTGCAGGGGACAAAGTGATCCTCTGGCCTTGTCTTGTGACTGCAGTGGTGGGGAGGAGAGCACAGGCTGGATCCTCCTCCCAGCCTCCCAGCCAATGACGCAGCAAGCTGCGGGGGCGCGTCTCCAGTTGTCTCTCCATTCACAGATTCCTTCAGGGTCTTGCTTTTTTTTTTTTTTTTGCCTTTTTCAATCTGAAGCTCTTGCTTCTGGAATCCTTACATTACCTAGTTGCCATGGCAGCGACAGGTCAGCCAAAGAATATCCTTTCCACTCACACAGGTGCCAGTCATCCCTGCCTCAGAGCAGAAGGAAAGAAATACAGTTCAGCCTAGCAAAGTCAGCTCCACACCCTGCTGAAGTTTGTAGCTCCAGGAAATCCAAAGAAAGGGGACAATGAAACACCAGCCTTGGGATGCAGTTAGGAACATACTCCTTTTGAGACTAATGTGGTGGTTAAAAGCGTGACTCAATTCTGTACAAATGGGAATATCCAGGCTTTTGCAATCTGTGTGATTCCAGGCAAGTTGTTTAACTGATCTGGCCCTTGTTTGATCATGCCTTTCTTCAGCCAATAGTTACCTACTGTGCTTCAGGTTCTGTTCCAGATGATAGGCATATAACAGTGAATGGAACTGGTTAGGATTCTCTACTAGAGAAAGACAATAAATACCAAAATTGTAAGCACTGCCTTACTCTTTTTTTTTTCT